GGGCTGATGGCTCCGAGCCTGGAGCCTGCTTCTGATTCTGTGTCTCCCTCTCTCTCTCTCTGCCCCTCCCCTGTTCATGCTCTGTCTCTCTCTGTCTCAAAAATAAATAAACGTTAAAAAAAAAAAAAATCTTATTATGTAAGAATCCAAGTTACACAGGAGTACAAACAACAGATAAAAAATATTTTTATCAGAAATTAGGGAAACAGAAAATAACCAGAATTAAATAATTGAGGGCAGTAAATGACATAAGATAAAGTAGAAAAGAGGTGGAATTTCTCTATCAAACATGCTGGCAGCAAGGGCGTAGTGGGTGGGAGGGTTCCTATCCCACTAAAAGTTAATGAAAACATTAACTTGAACCTTTTGGCACTATTAACTTGAAGTAAATAGTTAGTTTTTAAATTTACTCTGAATATTACTTTGAAAAATGTCTTCATCTGATTCTAACCATTAATTTAAAACAATATAACTTCACACTGATAAATACCTTTGCAAAAGTTAAGAATATTTCATTACCTTTCTCAAGTTAACTCTATTCAAGAAATATCTCAGCCTCACCAACAAGGTCCCAAGACTAGAAAATCATTATTTTTGCCATAAAAGTATGTGACTGACTCCTACAACTGCCAAATTAAAGGAAATATTCATTCCTTGCTGCTAATATTAAATGAAGATATTAAACCTTAGTGTTGAGATATTAAATATTTAAAATATTTTCTTATGAATGATAAAATTAACAACTTTAGTTTTCTAACAACTTCATTGAATTAGATGGTGGAAAATCTAAAACCCAACTAAACAAGATATACAAACCTAACAGGATGGAGCTGGGAAGATAATACGGCCACATAGAAGCATTAAAATTTAAAAATATCTTTTCTATACCCTTTTCAGGGGAGTCCAATGTGCTCTGTAAGAGTAATTTTTTAAGATAACATTTCTGGGAGAAGGGTAAAGACCCATCGATTTTTGTGTCTCAAAAATATGGATTTCTGATCTTATCAGCACTTTAAACTAAATTACAAAAGCATTCTTATTTGACAAGTCTCCTCTGGCCTAGTAATTTGATATAATACAGCAAAGAAAGTTCTTAAAATTTCAAAATTGAGGGGTGCCTGGGTGGCTTAGTCAGTTAAGTGTCCCACTGCAGCTCAGGTCACGATCTCACAGTTCACGGGTTCAAGGCCCACGTTGGGCTCTGCACTGACAACTCAGAGCCCGGAGCCTGCTTCAGATTCTTCATCTCCCTTCTCTGCCCCTGCCCCACTCACACTTTGTCCCTCGCTCTCAAAAAGAAATAAACATTAAAAAAAATTTTTTTTTTTTAATTTTCAAAATTGAGGGGCGCCTGGGTGGCGCAGTCGCTTAAGCGTCCGACTTGAGCCAGGTCACGATCTCGCGGTGTGTGAGTTCGAGCCCCGCGTCAGGCTCTGGGCTGATGGCTCGGAGCCTGGAGCCTGTTTCCGA